AGTTCCTGGCTGTCAGGAAAACCGGTTTCTCCGCTTGCTTGCTGTGAGCTACAACTTCATCATCATCATCTTCCTCATCCCCAAAACCTGCTTCCGTGTTGCCTCCATCTCCATTGAAGGAGTCAAACAACTCGGCTGGGGTAGTGGTGGCTGAACCCCCTAAAATGGCAAGCAGCTCATCATAGAAGCAGCATGTTTGGGGCTCTGACCCAGAGCGGCCGTTTGCCTCTCTGGTTTTCTGGTAGGCTTGCCTCAGCTCCGTAAGTTTCACGCGGCATTGCTTTGGGTCCCTGTTATGGCCTCTGTCCTTCATGCCCTGGGAGATTTTGACCAATATTTTGGCATTTCGAAAACTGGAACGTACTTCTGATAGCATGAATTCCTCTCCCCATACAGCGATCAGATCCCTTACCTCCCGTTCGGTCAATGCTGGAGCTCTTTTGCGATTCTGGGACTCCATCATGGTCACCTTTGCTGATGAGCTCTGCATGGTCACCTGCAGCTTGCCATGCTGGCCAAACAGGAAATTGAAATTCAAAAGTTCGTGGGCTTTTCCTGTCTACCTGGCCAGTGCATCTGAGTTGAGAGTGCTGTCCAGAGCGGTCACAATGGAGCACTGTGGCATAGCTCCCGGCCAATACTGTCTAATTGCGTCCACAGTACCCCAAATTTGACCCGGCAAGGCCTATTTCAGCGCTAATCCCCTTGTCGGGGGTGGAGTAAGGAAATTTATTTAGAGCCCTTTAAGTCGAAAAAAGGGGCTTCATCGTGTTGACGGGTGCAGGGTTAAATCGATTTAACGCTGCTAAATTCGACCTCAACTCCTAGTGTAGACCAAGGATAAGAATCAAGTTTGCTAACTCAAAGACATAAATCATAAGACTGTAAGACGGTGGTTCTCAAACTTTTGTACTGGTGACCCCTTTCACAAAGTAAGCCTCTGAATGCGACCCGCTCTTATAAATTAAAAACACTTTTTTATATATTTAACACCATTATAAATGCTGGAGGCAAAGCGGGGTTTGGAGTGGAGGCTGACACCTTGCGACTCCTCATGTAATAACCTCACGAACCCCTGAGAGGTCCTGACCCCCAGTTTGAGAACCCCTGCTGTAAGATAAGATAAATTCATACACCATTGATTAGTTTTGCTTAGTGAAACTCTCTCAAGTCTGAAAGATCCAAACCTGAAGGGAATTGCATGACGAGATATACAATTGTTGCTGAAGTTAATACATCCAGTGTCGGTTTATATGCCTGGTTTCCCCAAGATAATGGGGGAAATGGATATTATATGTGTCCATTTGGGGTTTACTGTCTTTTTGAGACTGACAAAGTCACCAGAAAAATTATTGGCTGCAAGTTTAGTCACAGACTAGCAGCATAAAATTAAAGTATTAAAATCTTAAAAATTTAAAAAACCAAGAAGTCAGCTTGACAAGAAAAATAAGATACTGTAGTATAACTTTGGAAGAAAAGGACAGCACAAATAAGCCTCACATTCTATAGCCAGCCTCTGAATAAGAAATAATACAACTTAGCACTTATGTTATATTTTAAAAGTGATCTCCAAAGGACTTTAAAACAACTGGGCTTGTTCTTTTTATGTTTCTTTATGATGTATAATTTTCATTTTTCCTGCTAGTATTTTTTTAATCTTAGAAATATCAGGAATATAACATCTGATCTTCCCTGGTTTTGTTGGAGAACTAGTAAGAAGCATAAGGGATGTACACTGAAAGCTCCTAACGTCTTAATTGAAGGTATGAGGTTATTGCATCTCTAACAAACGCTTCTTTTATTCAAACTGTTAATTAGTCACTAAAGTTGAAAAAGTGTTTTGTCTGACTAATTCCTTGCCTAACTCCTCAACCTTCTCTTGTTTAGTCCTAGTGAAATCATCATTTTACCAGGTGTCCAGTCATCACAGAGACTTCCAGACTAAAGAGGATCTGAATTTCTAATGTAAAAGAACTGTCAGACCTTCTTTATTAATCATAAGTGCAGGGAGCACAAACCGAATATTTTCTTCCTCTAAATGTCATTTTTGATAGGGTTTAAGTACTCAGAGGACAAATAGAACATGGGGTGACATTAAGAATTGGTCATTTGATGAACTGAAATGCATCACACCCTGGATATGTGTCTCCAACAGCTTAGTTGCATCTTAAAATGTTTTAATACCTTTTAAAACATAGTTTTGAAGCTGCATCAAACAACTGACATTTTAGTCTCTCCTTCACCAAACAGAGAGAGAATTTTAAATCTTCCCTGACATTAAATTGTTCATTTAAAAAGCTAAATTTATAGAAAAATATGGCAAGAGCAGTTCTGTATTCACTTATTTACTGTTTCAAGAGTATACACTGAAAACCTAGTAGAGCTTAGCTGTGACATTTGAAAAATATTTCTATCTTGCTGAGCATGAATACCCAGTGAAAACAAGCCTAATGAACTTTTCGACAAAGATGCAACATGCATATTCATGTAGTCTTACTATTTACCATTTTCCCTGTTTCTCTTTCTCAGAATCTCCCTTAGTCCAGGGTATTTCAGTGATGTTAAGGTGTAGTAGTGTCCCTATTCATCTCCTCGCATTTATATTTCAGACATTGTCAGCTAGTATGCCCACAGACAAACAAGTGAATGAAAACACTGTAGACTAATGAAAATGATAGAAGATGTAACTATTCCATTGCCACCCTGGATTTCACAGTCACTATTTGTATTGTAGACTTCATAGCTGTCAGCAAGGATTAAAACTCAGGACCTTTCTTCCTACAATTAAGGTCATTACCACTAGAGTAACTATTTCTATTGCTTGTTCGATCCAGGACTTCACTGAGTGATGTTCAGATGCCTATTTGATAACATTGGTTGTGCTCTAACCCATAATAGGACAAACCATGAGAAGGTGATCCTCATCTGCCCCAGCATTTCATCTAATCAATCGAAAGGGTAGGGTGAAGCTGCTCATGGACTTTTGTGGCCAGCAGGTAAGAAACAATCCCATCCTGAAATATGTTAGTGTGACATTAGACCTAAACCTCACATATCAACAACAGCCCCTGAAAAATATACATGACAAAATAAAGATGTGGTTAAATCTCATCCAGAAACTGGCAAGAATCACCTGGGGAGCTAATGTGAAAACTCTATGGACCTCTTTACACACCCTTGTCCACTCTACCACAGAATACTGTTCACCCATCGGGACGGGTGAACCGTCCCACACATCACTTTTCAATTCTCAATTTAACACTATCATGCGGATCATTATGGGTACAGTAAAATCAATTCCAAAATTGTGGCTTCCTGTACTGGTGCAAATCTGTCCACCTTAAGTTCGTCACAAAATGAGAATCCTGTGAGAGTTCCATTGTATTAAAGGGAACAAATATCTTCCAATACACGAAGACCTAAATAATAAACAGATTATGATTTAAATCCAGAAAACCTTTTTGGCTTGCAGTGCAAGTATGCAAAGACGCAGGGTTCTCCCCCAAAGATCAATGGCGAACAATGTGGAAGGATGTGAATATCCCAAAGAAACATCTCATCGAGGATCAACCAAAGAACTCAGTAGCTTTTCACTCCCATAAAAATATGGTCTACTCTGAACCACCTCTGCAAATCACATGGCCGTTGCATCTACCTCCTCCATTATTGGGGACTGAGACACAATTGTATTTGTGACTGTGGAAACTGACTTCGGATTATAGCACCCCTCATCAATCAATGTCCCAAACAGTCATATCCCTGTAATATTTCTTCCATCCACTCCACGTCATCTGAAGCAATCAACTGGATTGCCAATTTAGACTTAGACATCTAATACTGCTGAAAGAAATCAGCACTAGAGCTGCAAGAAAATCTGCAGTATATATATTTTATTATGGTTTGTAATCGTGTTTTGGGGCACCCACTACAGGGCAATATAATCACAAATATTTGAGAGGGCCTCTACGTATTCACACTTCTAAGACAAACATATTTATTTGGACTGTGCAATTCAGTAAGACAAATGTGATTCATAAAGATCAGCCAGGTCATACAAAGTCCTCTTAAATATAGCATCAGAGTATGATTCTTTGTTTTATGCCTTAATTAATTGAAGATAACACAGTCATTCATAAAAGGATGGACTTGTGGGGATTCCTTCCAGAGAAAACTGAAGTGAAGTATTTTAAACTATAAGTGGCTTCGTGACCTAGTTGCAAGTGTACTTGCTGGTTTTATAAATTTAACTTCCCCCTGGAGGCCACTAGCTGAGGAATCAATCCCAGCCCCCTGCAGGCCCTACCCTGAACACCATGTGTATGACTGGTGACAGAAGCGGCCTGTTAAAAATAAGATCGTGAAAGCCATTTTGTGCAGAGGATTCGCAGTAGAGCAGTGTGCACAGGATTGCAGTGCACCAGTGTGAAGATGCATTGTAAGGTGCTCAGTCTCAAGGGCTCTGGCAGTGACAATAGGGAGCTCTCACTCCAATGGGGGGCGGGGGGGCTGGGAGGAATGTGGAATGCTTTTCCCATAAGGTGCTCCCCAGTGTGGGGTTGGCTGGAAGGTGGGACGCCCACCCCATAGGCAAGGGGTTGAGGAATGGGGAGGTTTGTCCCTCAATGAGCCGGGGTGCTCGGCTAGGAAGGGGGGGGCTCACCCCAGGGGGCAGGGCTGGGTGGGGGCACTATGGCTGTGGTTCACCCATTTGGGACGGGGGAGAGTGGGAAATAGAAGTGCCTGCCCCTTTAAGAGCGCCCCCCCCTACCGTGTTGCACCAAGAGTTCACGTGCTAGCTCGACCTAACCTGCTGCCTGCCTAGTGACCCCCGGGCCGAGCAGCTTTGCGCGGCTACGATTGGCTGGCTTCGCGCATGCCCGGCCATGTGATTGGTGGCCGTGAGCGAGGTCCCGCCCCCGCCGGCAACCAGCAGGTTACGTTGTGTGCGAGTGGTTAGTTCCTGTACTAGGCCCGGGCGGGGGCTGCTGGCGAGTAACTGCCCTGGGGGAGGCGGGGTCCGAACCGGCGCTGGGGGCCTGGGGCCATGGTGTAGCGGAGGCGCCGGGCGGAGCAGCGGGGGGCACCATGATCATTGAGAACGTGGACGCCCTCAAGACCTGGCTGGCCAAGTTACTGGAGCCGATGTGAGTGAGGAGAGGGGGCGGCGGCGGCGGCGGCGGCCCGGGAGGGCAGGGAGCGGTGGGCGCTGGCGGCGGGCGCTGGCAAGGCTGTGGGCGCGTGCGTGGGCCGGAGGCCGCAGGGTGCAGGCGGGTTGTGTGGAGATGGGAGGGTGGGGGCTGCCTTGTTGCTGGCCCTGGAGACAATAGGGGAGGGGGGGGTGCCGTGGGGGGGAGGGTGTTCATGGGGGGCGGGAAACTCGGAGGGGGGGTGTGTGTGTGAAATGTGTGGCCCGCTGTCTCTAAAACTGATAATTCACCACTGGCCCCCAATCGGGGTCGCAAATAAACTTCTGGGCTCGGCCGGCGAGTTCCCTGGCACCCCAGGCCTCTGCGAGCTCAGGTCCTTATTCCCGCTGTCCGAAAGGTGCCCTGGGCTGTGCCCCTGGCATGCGGGCTGTGGGGGAGGCCAAGGGGGCAGAGGCGTGAATGTCCACGTACTGGGTTAGTGGCAGGGCCTAGTAGCTAAGAAGTTCATGCGGGTTTCAGAGTAGCAGCCGTGTTAGTCTGTATTCGCAAAAAGAAAAGGAGGACTTGTGGCACCTTAGAGACTAACCAGTTTATTTGAGCATGAGCTTTCATGAGCTACAGCTCACTTCATCAGATGCAAGTTCATGCGGTAGCTTCTGTATCGTAACACTCCTATGCTGGCTCATACTTTTCCGTAAGCAGAGCTTCTCCTAGAGACTGTCCTTTGTCAGTGGTCTGAGCGCAGGACTGGGACCAGGGACCTTCTGTGTTCTAATCATAGCTTTGCTACTGATGCCCTCTTTGGCCTTGGGGAAGTTAAATAAATCTCCCTGGCCCTCTTGTAAAATGGGGGTAATAATTGTTTTCCTACTTCACAGGAGTGTGAAAGATTAATTATTTAACGCTTGCACAGGGCTTTGCGGACAGAATATGTGATACTTGCACCATATTTTGACGGCTTGGGAGTTTTTGGTTTCAGTATGCATTTAATCTTCAACTGTGCAACATGAGTTCAATTCCTCCTCCCCTGCCTCGCAAACACACAATGTAAAATAGTTCATAAAATAAATCTTCAGTCACATTGAAAAGGTGGCAAAAGTTTACACTCAAAATCCACTCTTGAGGATCTTCAGGAAACTTCCCAGGCAAACTTCTGAAGGATTTTGATAGTGTGCTATTTTTCTGTAATTACAAAGAGATGTAGTTCTAAAAGAGTCCCTGATGTACTGGGTAAATATTTGTAAAATATGTATAAATGCACACTCCCTTCATAAAATGTTTCCCAATAACAGGGCTTTCCTGTAATGAAAGCTGTGGGACAGGCTTGTTGGGGGATGGAACTATCTGAATTTTCAGTTTTTATACAGAGGAAAATAGAGGCCTATGTGAATTCACAGTTGTGGAATTTATAAGCTATTCGTAATCTACTTTTTATCACTGAATATATTCTGTATTTGTGTTTGTCCATTTGAAAATTTGGGTAGGCCCTATGACGACTCTAGCTACAATCTGTTAAATAGCACAGTTTTGTAAAATAATTGTCTGTATACGGATACGTTATAAAAACTGTTGCAGACTCGTTTCGTTACATATTTACACGAGGAGTTGTTACAGACTTTACTAATTCGTATGTAGTTATTAAAAGACGTAAACATTGATATTACGCTCCACTTTGCCATAATGATATTAGGGGTCTGTCCTCAACCTATAACAGCAAGGAAATAGAGACTGGCTGAAACTTTTCCCCATTTTCTATTACCAATGGATGTTTGAAAATTTAAAGTATAATGTTTGTGATTACAGTGTGGTTCTTTTCCTCTGAATATTTTCACTTTTCACTTGCATTAATTTTGATAAAATAACTTAAATTGAGAATTACAGTATCATGTCTTTATAAACAAAAAAAAGCCTTCAGATGTTTATCTAGCATATTACTGTCTACCATCTTTATTAGATCATCTGTCTTATTATTGATTCTGATCGTCCTTCTAACCTGAGCACTTTCAGACTTCTGGTAGCAAAGCTATACTCTGAATGAATTTCAGTTGGAGACCAGGGTTCTTGGCAAACAGTGTTAGAATTTCTTTGTGGTGCTGGTTGTACATTTGAGATCAATGAGGAGTGACTGTGAGGCACAGATCCTTTCCGGGGTATAATAAACACTTTATGCAAATTTCTGTTATGTAATAAGCAAGTACTAGAATATCACAGTGGGTCATCCTGAGAGAAATTGGGATGCTAAAGAGGGAGGGATAAAATTTAAAACAAAAAAACATGTTTGGAAGAGATGGAAGCTCTCCCTTTTTTTTTTTGCAACTCCTGAAGCTTTTTTTTTTTTTTTTTTTCATTAAATTGTACATGGGGACTGGCATGGAACATATCAACCCCATTTTTACAAGCCTTATAACCTTCCACTTTTTTTTGGATTAACCCTTTTCATTACTGTATTTCTATACGTCCTTTTGAAACATAAAATGTTTTTTCCTGCAACCGTCAAACACTGGAAATAAGTGAGCGAATTAATAGGGTGTAGAGGTGATTGAATATTTAATTGTGAAGTTTTGCATTTTTCAACAAATAATTTGTTACAAGCAAAAGAACATTTGAGACCTCTAAACTGTTTGCTATTTCTAGTGTGCTTTATATTGACAATTCCAAAAGCAAGCAAATGTTGACAGTCAAAGGTCATTTAAAAAAAAAAAAGATTTCTAAAATAGTGAACTTAGAATATATACAAATACATACCCCTGGCATTTTGGGGTCCTCTGCATCTATTCACCTAGCTGTTACGTTTGTTGTGTTGTATAATGCTTCGCTATTGGCAAGTAGGTTCTCATTTTTGAACGTTTTCTGATGGCTGAACAGTGTAAGATAAAGCAACCTTCAGTTTAACCAGTGGTACCAGAACATTGTAGTACAAAGGGAGGATGTGTTTCTAGTGGTCTTCACATAGCCAAATAAAGGCTGTTGGGCTGAGAGTGTAATATAATTAGTTTGTGATAATAAAGGCACTTTTAGATAGTGAAATCTCTACCTTGAGAGTACTGTGGAAGAAAAGAAAGAAGGTTTGCATGTTGGCTTCATTCTTTTCACTTGTGCTCCTTTGTGATGAAGCTGTGTACGTAATACACATTTTTCAGATCTCTTCCTGGTGAGATGTGCTTGGTTAGTCTATTCTGGTTGTTAAGACAGCATACAACATTTCCACTGTGGAACAGTCTTCCAGGTCATTTTTCTGTAAGTTTCTCTCATTAATGGTGGGGCATAGTTGTTTTGGGTTTGCTGTGGTAAGGGGGAGTTGGCCGGAAAGGATAGCATCTGCTTGATTGACCTAAGAATTGTATTGTGGTGGTTTTCACAAGCAAAGCCAAAGAATAAGCACAAGACATGGAAGCTTTTTCTGACATTGTTAGTGGAGCACAAAATAAAATCGAAACATCTCACTGGTGTGCAACAATGGCAGAAGCTGCTCTGTGGCACTGGAGCTAGGTGCAACTGTGGTGTTACTGGATTGCACGACATTATCCTAAAGGTCCAACAACCTGCATTGCCAGAAGACTGTCTTGATGATGCCTCTATAACTACCATGATTGTCCAGAATGTAATTTCTAGTGATTTTCAACATTGTTTAACAAAATCAATTTGTATGTTGCAAACTTTTTTCCTCTTCTCTTCAGATGTGATGCAGATCCTTCAGCCTTAGCTAACTACGTCGTGGCATTAGTCAAGAAAGACAAACCAGAGAAAGAGCTGAAGGCTTTCTGTGCCGATCAGCTAGACGTCTTTCTGCAGAAAGGTACTTTTTCTGCTTTCTTTGTAATTACGTAGTTTAATATTCAACATAATTTATAAAATTTAAATGCAATTATTAAATTGTGATTAGTGGTTTACAGTTGGAAGGTGGTTGTTCTGCAGCATAATAGTTAAAGTTTAGAAAGGATTGTATAAAGTTTTGTCATGTTGGGGCCTACTCTTCTCTTCCTATGTATAAATATGTTGCATTCATAATGAGATTTAGCAGGGAAATGAAGGATCAAAGGTTCCAAGATCTGTTTTTTAAACAATTTCAATTGAGTTAAAGCCTGTTAAGCAAAAATTAACACTTAATTTCCTTAAACAGTAGTGGCCAGGTTTGCAAAACAAAATTGGGCCATAAATTTCACAACAGGAGCTATCAAGTGTAGAGTACTTCTGAAAATCTGGCTCTTATTTAGATGTCAAAATGGAAGCTCAGTTCCGATTGAAAATCTGGCCCCAAATATGGGTGCTGAGAACTTGGAAATCTGACCCTTAGTGGCCAAATTAGTGGGTATGGTGGGATGTGTTTGCTCTTAAACATGAGTAATGAAGATGACTAACTTTCACAACACCATGTTTGGAGGATTTGAGGTATTTCCCAGGTGTCTGTTTCTCACCAGTTCCTCAACAGGATGGAGCCATTTTATTATAATAGATGGAAACTTCAGGACTCAAAAGGTGCCACGTCACTCCTGTGCCTAACTAAATCCTCCTCCTAATTGCTGGTAGTGAACCCATGCCATCTTTGTAATGTCAGATCAGAGACTTGATATTCTGGGACAAATTTATCCCAGGTGTAACTCCATTGATTTCAGCAGAGTTATACCAAGACTGATATTGTCCTTTAAAGTACAAATGCCCACTTGCAAATGTCCCTAAAATAATTAGGGTTGAGTGTGGTAGGAGGTGAAATTCAAGCAGCCTTTGAATTTTGACTAAAAAGGGGCTCTTCTTATAGAAAAGTCATTTTGTAAGAACCTCCTTTTTATTGAAAATGGAAGAGCTGTTTGATCTCCCTCCTCCATTTCTGATTTTTTGTGAGGAGCCCTTCCTATTCATGAAGCCGGAATTGAAATGCCATTAAAACCCTTATCTCTTGTCTATGCTTTGAATTTTAAGCAAGTTGAGCACAAGCACAGCTCCTCCTGTGTTAACAATGGTGAAAGCTGCAGCGTAGACAGCACACCATTATTTTTGTCATCATCTAGACGTGCTTTGAGCATCTTTCAATGATGTGATGATAAAAATGTCAGTGTGTCTACACTGTTGCTTCCACTCTGAAAGCTGTACTGTATCTAGACCACAAATTGCCTAAAACTCTCCGTGTAAGCATGGACTCTGTTTACTATAAGTGTTTTAATTAACTAGGTTAAAGAAAACTGACTCTCAAGCTAGGCCTGCTAGATATCTCAGTGAATTCAGCAGTTGAAGTTGGATGATCCTGTGAGGGTTATCACTTGTGCACACAATGTGAAAAGTTAATATATCACACACCAGTTGCTAATAAATGTAGATTGGTGGATTGTATTTTTGCTTTTTTTTTTTTAAAGCCTATTTTTAATGGACTGCATTGTCTAGGGCATGGAAATGGAGATACGGAGCCTCTCATTTCTAGGCCACTGGTTCAAGTGCAGACCAATTTAATAGAGACTGTAACTTAGTACTTCTCAATGGCCTTTTGGGATCCAGTGTGAAATTTTGTCTTGTTTCCTGTGGATGAGTGTCTAAGTCACAAAAATTGCTGCAGTCGGCAGTCTTATTACAGAGATGAAAAATTGAATGAACAATTGAGATAATTGTGTATTCAGTCCTAAAAGCGGTCCCTTCACCACATATTGAGATGTATTAGCAGGACTATGTGGCGTTGTCCATGCTGCTTCCTATTGTTTTCCTATGTCTATAGCTGTATAGAGAACATCATTTTTTAGGGCTGTTATTCCAGTACCTAGCACCACTAAAATTCACACAAATTTAAGATAAGGATTTTTTTAAAGTAATGATATTTTGTGGTTGGATTTTGGGGAATTGTCTTACCAACATAGTCCTGACAATAGACTTAAGTCAAGATGTATAATCAAGTTTTGTGTGTATCTTTCTCCTCAGAAACTTCAGGTTTTGTAGATAAACTATTTGAAAGTCTGTACACAAAGAACTACCTTCCTTCCCTTGAACCAGCAAAACTAGAACCGAAGCCTGCAGGTCAGGAAAAAGAAGAAATCAAAGAGGAGGTAATGTTAATTTCCCATCCACCTGCTGCTGTGAGCTTCTCACACCAGTCCCTCCACCATCCACTTTTGTAGGAAGTTTTTATAAAAACAAAACATGCTCTGAACAGGCTCTTTTGTGGCTAATGGTCTGTGCTACCATCTCTGAGCTTGCAGGAATGCTGTAAAGGTGGTGTGTTCTGTCCATTGAGTAAGGGAGCATTTTGTCTCTTTTTGCAGACACCTCCCTTTGATCAATGTGGGAGTAGCATTCCGAACTCTCATTCAGCCCTCCTTGGCAGTGAGGAATGACACTACAATGGACAGATTTAAGGAATGGGGAATGATGTAAAGGCCTTGATAGCTACCTCAAAAGATGCATGTAGATTTCCAAAAGACCACTACTCTAGGTGTAGCTATTGTGTATGCAGTATTAAATGCATAACAAATGGAGTTGTTGTGTTTTTAGAAAAAAGAAAAGGAGTACTTGTGGCACCTTAGAGACTAACCAATTTATTTGAGCATGAGCTTTCGTGAGCTACAGCTCACTTCATCGGATAGTCTCTAAGGTGCCACGAGTACTCCTTTTCTTTTAGCGAATACAGACTAACACGGCTGTTACTCTGAAACCTGTGTTTTTAGAAAAGTTGTTACCAATGAAACATGTTAGCAAGCTTTTTATTTTTTTAAAGGAATTATCCTGGTTATAATATAGCTTTCTTTCCACAGCAGCTGCTTTTTATACTCCTATTCATTGTTGCTCAGAATAATAAAAATAAAATGGAGGCGGCCAAGGTGTGTGCCCATCATCAGCCTTGTGCACTTCATTTGTATATTGTACCCCTTTCCACTACCTTTTTTTAATTATATTTATCTTTTTAGGTTGTGTATTCCCCAGGACAGGGAACCTCTTCCTACAAGTTTGTAAAACACCTAGCATAGTGGTGCTCTGATCCTGATTGGAGTTTTTGGTAGAGAATGCAATAGAAATAATTCTCTGTTCTCTGGATGTACTGTCATCATGGTTCAGTGAAATTCACAGGCCTGATTTAAGTGATGTAGTTATTACAGAAAAGAGCTGGCTATATTTAGATAAGGTCAAATGGGATATATGATATTCTGACCCCCTTCTCCTGCTTTATGTGCATGTATATCATGTACTCTTAGAACAACTAGAAGTTTTCCTTCTAAAATCTCTCCTTGATAAGTGAACAATTGGGAAACAAGGCTTAAGACAAATGCCTCTAAATGGATTTTTCATATATCTGCTGTTGTCTGAGAGTCTACATACAGATATTGGAAATATCTTGCTATACTTTCGTAGTCCCGTCTGCAATGTAAGCAATTAGCCAAAGGTCATGGAGGCAGTAAATGATCACGCGTTGCGAACTGTCAGTTGGGCCTCCAAAGAATAGTCATGTAATGTTGGGTTTTGGAAAGGGAGACATTTCTCTGCTAAAAGTGTAACATAGTGTAGATGTAAATCTACACAGTTCAATCTAGCTATTTCTAGATTGCCCTTCATTGTATCTAAGGACCATCTCTTAATACCAAAATTCTAATTCTGAAATACCATTTGATCCTGAGTAAAAGTTTATCACTTCCTTTAATGCCATAACACTTGTATTTAGCTATAATAGTTCATGTTAGAACGATCTTAAAACTGCCATTGTTCTCTTGTTTCTAGAATTGAGTATTTGGGTTTCTTATGTGGGATTGCAAGGGATCAGGACATGATACAGCCAGTCCTAGACCAGAATGTCTTTTAAACTCATTGTGAAACATTGTTTGCTGTACATCTAGAGATGTTTTGGGATTCCTGTAAATGGAATGACACAAGCTAAAATAATGCAGACAAAGGAAGAATCTTAAACTAAAATATAGTTATCTTGAAGGTTTTATAAAAGGTCATTGCTATCTCCGCTGTTGCCATCAAAATTATTAATAATTTATAAGTGATTCACTGTTTGGGACAAAGTGGCTGCCAATAAACTTAGAAATACTACAAGGGATCTTTTTCAAACAGACAAAGTTATGATGGAGCTGAGTAAAAGCACCAGTGAAATTGTTTTTGACTTTTGTTAATGTTTGTGAGAAGTATGACCTGTACAGTACTATCCAAATATATGAATAATTTACCACACCCAAAATTCGTATTAATGATGCAACTACATATGAAAGAAGGCCTGCAAAACTGCATAGTTTTAAGTTCCTGTTGTCTAGGAAATCTTATGTAGAAGATCCTATTTGCTTACAGTAAGGAACCCTGCAACCAATTAGAGGATGACACACTGTTTTTCTTTAACTTCAACACCTCCTATATAATATAAATTTAACCCAAAAATAGTCTTCTAATTTTGGAAAGCTTTACTGACAAAGGGAAACTGAAAGCTTTTAAAAAGAAAGACATGAACATTTACAACCCTGCTGCTTTGTTACATACAACATTAAGACAACAGGGACCCCTATGCTAAAACAGCTGCTAGCTGTGGTTTGAACTAAATCTAGGTTTATTTCTTTGTATTTTTTAAAGCTGTTTATGTTTAATGATGTGTTTGTTAAATAGATATTTCAAGAGTCGTTTGAGGAAGAACGAGATGGCAGGAAAAAGAAGTATCCTAGCCCACAGAGAAACCGTTTAGATTCTAATGAACAAAGGTTAGTATTGCTGTTTAATCACAAGATGTTAATCTCTTTCCCTTTCCTTGCTGGCCAGAGTCTTTAACTCTGGATTTTCACCTCTTGAGCCAGTAATTTTACCACAATGCCTACGTGCTCCTCCCTCCCCTTCTGCCATCAACCTCCAGTAGCTCTTTGATAGAACATAGTCTCCTCTGAGAACACCGCAAAGTGTCCCACGGGCTGATGCTTAGGGATATTTAAGAGTTCCATCTATTCACCCACATTTCAGAAAGGAGAGAGAGTGGAAGAACATTGGGGGTTTTTTATGCACAGTATTAACAGCAGCTGATGATGATGGCCATTCCAGGAACCTGTTCTTTCTTGTGAGACAGCATGGCAATAGAAGCACATGTTGGTGCCACTGTCTGAGTAGAGTGAGGAGTGAAGAACATTTACCATTTGTGACTCCAGACTTGTTCCGTGGCTTTGTTTCTCTCAATGTATGTGGCCCATACGTACATGTCTTTCAGAACCAGAGAGAAAAAGAGAGATGATGGCAAATGGAGAGACTATGACAGATACTATGATCGGAATGATTTATATAGAGACAAATACGACTGGCGAAGAGGCAGGAGTAAAAGTCGTAGTAAAAGCAGAGGGTTAAGCCGAAGTCGTAGCCGCAGCGGGGGTAGAAGCAAAGACCGGGATCTGAACAGAAATATTGGTGAGTAGCCAAAATGTTGCACTGGAAGAACATCTGACTCATTGTAGTGATTAATGCAAAATGTATTAAACAAACCAAAGTTGGATGCCTGTGAGTTGTTTAAGAACTCTGGCTATGGAACTGGCTTGGAGAAGTACATGCTGCTGACATAATTAAGGCGCTGTTCTGTAGTGTAGCATAGTCAAGGGAATTAGGTTTTTTTTAAACTCCATTTTAATTTATTCATAAGTGTATTCCAGGGGATGTATGCTTCTGGTATTGTGCTGTCTGTTGATAAAACATACTGTTGTTCCAAAATGCTGATATCTTTTTGTGCAGAAGTTGATTTATTCCTATAAAATTGTTTCAATTTTAGGAGATGTGGTTTTTTAATACTTAAGTAGAACCATGGCACCATGTTCCATTGGCCTTGTATAGGGAATCCAGGAACTGAAGCGATTGGCAGAATAAAATGTTGTGGATTTCAGGGTATGTTAAGGAGTGTTTGTCATTCATTCCACATTGGAGGGAAAAGTTGCTTTCATTTTCAAGAAAGGAGAATGGTTGGATGAATGTGAGCTTTGTGAGAGCAATGAGAGTTTCTGAGGTGGAAACTTCTTCGATGCCTTGGGTCTACAGTGCTAGCATTTTAAGAAAAGTAATTTTACACAAACTGTGTAAACACTCTATGTTCTGCATGGTGAATAAATGAGTTTGTATTACTGTGTAATGTCCACTAACCATCTATGCATTCCATTTCTCCAGGACTTTGATATACCTAACAAAAGCATGAAAACTTACCTGGTTTATTTTGCTAATTTTTTTTTTTTTAAAGCTGAACACAAGGAGAGAGCAAAATTCAAGAGTGAAAGGAATGACATGGAGAGCTCATATAACACAGTGTCTTTGTCATCCAGTAATTCTACTGAACAGTATTCCTCTGCGCAGTCTATTCCCAGTGCTGTTACTGTGATTGCACCTGCTCACCATCCTGAGAACACAACAGAGAGCTGGTCAAATTATTATAACAATCATAGTGTTCCCAATTCATTTGGCAGAAACCCTCCACCTAAAAGACGATGTCGAGATTATGATGGTAAGAAAGCTATCGGTTTCTCTCCAACTTCTTCCCTAGTGCCTCTTATTTCTTACCTCTCATAAATTCTTTTATTTTTAAATATATCTACTAAATTCTTCACTAAATGCAAGCAGTAAATGAAGATTAAGTGGTAGGTAGATTATTTTTAATGTAAGGATGCATTATTTTTAATGAGCCTGCAATTTGCTTGAATAAGATTTAATCTTGCTGGAAGTGATTTACTTGAAATCTGACAATTCTTGGCACTGGCAGGAATGTATTTAGTTGATAATTCTACAGCTGTGCCTTCGCAAATACTGAGGACTGCTACTGGGTGAAGTAAGATTATAGGGTTTGACATAAACCGGGTGATTTTTCTCTCTGTCTTCCCTACCTACCCATCCCCCATGTTGCTGTTGAAGTTTGTACACTGTTGTGGAAACAGTTCAGATTCTTTGACGCTAAACTAATATTCCAACTTGAATTCTAGTTTGAAGTTTTATTTAATTGTGTAAAATGTTAGATCAGAAAATGCTGGACTTCTTAAATGCATCTATTTGTTCTTTAGTGAGAAATCACAGAAATAGTAATAGTTGATTAAATCTTATAGTCATCACTTTTGAAGTTCTTGACAAATAGTAATGAAATTGTCTGTCTGTCTTTGCAGAGCGAGGATTTTGTGTACTTGGCGACCTTTGCCAATTTGATCATGGAAATGACCCTTTAGTAGTAGATGAAGTTTCATTGCCAAGCATGATTCCTTTTCCACCACCACCCCCAGGACTCCCCCCTCCTCCTCCTCCTCCCCCTCCTCCTGGAATGCTAATGCCTCCAATGCCAGGCCCAGCTCACAATATGAGAATGCCAGGCCCACAAATACATCCTCGGCCACCACCTCCTGTTGTGCTTCCTGTATCAAGTAAGTTTAAAATATTGCAGTAGGTTATTTTGTAGTCCTAATATGAATTACTTGGCTCCTGTTAAAAGAAATACTTATATTTACCCAAAGTAATAGATTGTTCTAGCTTCTTAGCTATCTGTGTACCGTACAAAACATTACTAAAATGAAACTTGGAAGGCAGTTTTAAAAATGTAGTGTTCACAGCACTATAAATGACTAATATAGAAACCAGAGACACGGTGGGGAATCTAACCATTCCCCATTCATCAGTGTAGGATTGAGCATTTAGATTCATGTTCTTAGCACTTCAGTCTCCAATAAGTCACACTATAGACTCAGTATAATATATCCCTTTGATTAGTAGATACTCACAACTCAAAGCATGTTTAATACAAAGGAATAGATGCAGCTGTTCATATACATGGGGCTGATTATTGCTGACAGTTAGATGACCTTTTTAGGTTAGTCTAGTCAAAAGATTCTCACATTTAGTTTGAAACTCCTTACCAATCATATAATATTCAAATAACTATTTTAAGGCAAATGTATGTGGTCATCAAAACTGAACTAGCTTACAGGCAGAGTTTTCAAGTTCTGTAGTTGTCCTACTAGACTTGGTAATAAAACATATCTTAATAATAATTTTCAAAATTTCGTCTCTTAGCTGTAGAACGTCCAAAATAAAGAGGATGCATTCTAGCACATCGAACACTTCTGGTTGATTATGGTTTTTAGGCTTGTCAGTGGTGGCTGAGTTTCCCTACCCACTTCTCCACTTTGTGTCAATGTATTTTGCTGCTTTTGAGAAACGTTGGGGCATAGATTGTGCCTGTGAGAAGAATTTTGCAGAATACTGGAAACATAGACGCTGTGTTCCAGCACTATTTTACTCATTACATCAACACAGTACATGTGACATTCTGTGGACTAATCAGCCAGCTGCTGTTGGAATAGGAATAGTCATACTCCATCAGAACTCTCCAAGCATTCAGCATTTGGGCCTCCTGTAAATTTTTCAGATAAGTGATATTCAGAAAATTGTATGATTAAACCTCAATCTTTTTTTGAGGATTGAGTTTGCTTGCCTTCCCCCCTCCCCCCCCCCCCCCCCAATAGTGCTATTGGTCAACTTGTGTGCAAAACTCAAAGACTTCTGAAAAGACTTCAGGATTCAAGAACTGTGTGGGGATACATTTAACTTATATTTTTAATACAAATATAAAAGGAAATGAAATTAAAATTGTCTGGATATGGAAAAACATACTCCCCCCCCCCCCCCCCCACCTACCACGCACTTTTCACAGCAGACTTACTCAGTGCTGGCAAGCCGGAAAACAAATTAAGCCTTGGGTGGGGAGGTGGGTAGGGAGTCAGCAGGGGCTGGAGGTGATGTAGTATATGGGTGGGTGGCTGGAGGCTCCAGCGAGGACTGGGGGTGGTGCATGAGGTGCTGGGGGCCAGAGCCCATGGCCAGAGCCCACTGCCGCGTGGCCGGAACCTGCCACCCACCACCCCAGAGGTGAAGCTGGAAGTCTGAGCCCCACTGCCATGAGCAAGATGGTGAACTCACACCAGCTGTCTGCTCCTGTGGTGTTTGTGGCTCCAGGGGAGGGTCACTGCTTTGTGGCCCCTCCCCTCCCCATCACCACCCAGGAGGCTGATGCTGGCTAAACAGCGCTATTGTGATCTTGCTCTCAGTGAGATTTTATTCCCCTGATGGAAGTGACGGAGGATCTGTTCTAGCAAATGTAAGCCCTAACAATAACAGTTATTGTCTCCAGGGGAAGAGAGAGTGCCTTTTAGTTTAAAGCTTTATTCTTTCTGATAAAATATCATTGAGTAAATGACCCAAATGGCGTTTCATATACAGAAAGTTTTTATTGCTCTCAGACTAGAAAATATAGCAATCTCAAGAAACTTGGTTATAGTAAAGGTTGAATATAAATGTACAAACAGTTCAGTCCAAACTTGTTCAGTGTCAGTAGGGCTGTGAAGTCACTGATCTATTTAATGTTGTCATTATAGGACCACCTTTAACACAGTCAGGTTTGATGAATAACCGTGACCAGCCTCGGACAAGTTCAGTGCCCAATCTTGCACAAGTGGGAGCAAGACTACCTCCTCCTTTACCCCAGAACCTACTGTATACAGTATCGGAACGTAAGCAAATGTCTCTTAATCTGCCTGGGATAAAGTAGAGTTAAAACGTCTTCTGTTAATGTTGTATAATATAAATGGTGATTACTTTTACTTTCTTGCAGTGCATACAAATCCAAAAACATTCAGTCTGGTGGCTCTCCCCTCCAGCACACTGAGCACTAACCAAGGGAAAGAGTTTTAGACCAGACTAATAAATCTAGTTCACCCCAGGATCCTCCACATTCCCTGAGGATGCAGAGATCCTATGCCACGGTCACACTGCTTTAAGGAGACGATGCCTGGATGAAATTCCATTTGAATGATGATCCCTCAGCTAGTAATGTGAAACTATTGGCATAAACCCTAGTATTTACACTGCAACTTGTAACCTAGTGTCACACTTAAACCTCTAAATAACGGGGGGTGTTTTTCCTTCTGTCATTCTCTCAGCCTTATTTTTATTTTTGGCCAGTTTTAAGGCTTCTATTCTTGATTATGGTAACATCTTTTAATTTTCTATTAAAATAAATATATGCAGCTACCAAAATAGACTGCACCTCCAAGTATGTTGGAACCAGAAAAGCAAGCTAGAAAGATAAGACTTCGTTTATATTGTGACTTCATTGTAATTATCCCAAAGATGAATATGTCCCTCTTTAATATGGAAAATGAAGAGTTTTATATAAAACATGATATATTCAGTTACTGCTTTCATCTGTCTGGTCACTGGATAACCTTAAATGGTTAACTTAAATCCAACAATATCTTTAGTGCTACACTACTTGTTACCTGTAATGAAGAGTCGATTGGCATTTCTGTTTTCCTTGTTCTGAAGGGCAGTGTTGCTTTAGCTTACTCAGTTACCTTGCTGAAATCCTTGTTCATTTATCTCCAAATACTTCCAGTCCATGTTGTCCCCACGTGATTCAATTGCAGGGTTTTTCTTCATGATTGATTAATCAGTCTTAATTCTTCAGATGTTACTGATGCTTTGACACTACATAAATTCTCTTAAATTCTGACTGTTGCCATCGGAACACTCGCTGACTGTGCCCTTGAAATCAGATGGGATACAACAAAGGAGCAACTAGAGGGCAATTTACATATGCTTAACAGAAGTCCTCAGCAGAATCCAGATCTAAACCGCTTTTAAAAAATATCCAAGATCAAGCATTTGTCACTCTCTTGTTTTTTCTGAAAGAATACATTTTAAAACTTACAGTATGTATTGGGGAAACTTCAATGGCCTCTTGACAATGTGGAAGGCTGGTTTGGTGGATTTTTGATACTTGGTGTCAGATGAATCTCTCTAGTCAGTCATTCCGTTTCCAGGCCATGCAGTATTTACTTGGTAAAATTTCTGGAAACCCTCCAACTCCTGGTTTTGTGTGGGATTTTTTCCTTACACTTTTGACAGAATGAGACATCCATGATGTGGCATTTGAAAGGACCCACACTTGCTCTGTTTCTCAAACCTAGCTTCTCTTGTGTTCTCGGGTCTTAATTGCGATCAGCCCTAAGATAAATCGCCCTGTTAAACAATAATAGAATACCATTTATTTAAATATTTTTGGATGTTTTCTACATTTTCAAATATATTGATTTCAATAACAACACAATACAAAGTGTACAGTGCTCACTTTATATTTATTTTTGATTACAAGTATTTGCACTGTAAAAAAACAAGACGTATTTTTCAGTTCACCTAATATAAGTACTGTAGTGCAATCTCTTTATCATGAAAGTTGAACTTACAAATGTAGAATTATGTAAAAAAAACAAACCTGCATTCGAAAATTAAACTAAAATTTTAGAGTCTGCAAGTCCACTCAGTCCTACTTCTTGTTCAGACTATTGCTCAGACAAACAAGTTTGTTTATATTTGCAGGAAATAATGCTGCCTGCTTCTGGTTTACAATGTCCCCTGAAAGTGAGAACAGGTGTTCTCATGGCAAAGTTGTAGCCAGTGTTGCAAGATATTTGTGCCAGATGCACTAAAGATTGATATGTAACTTCATGAAATATATGGCAGAAGGCGGGTAAAACAGAGCAGGGGACATACAATTCTGTCCCAAGTAGTTCAATCACAAATTTAATTAACGCATCATTTTTTTAACAAACGTCATCAGCAATGAAGCATGTCCTCTGGAATGGTGGCTGAAGCATGAAGGGGCATATGAATGTTTCGCATGGCTCTGAAGTTTTACATGGTTTTGTTTTTGAGTACAGTTATGTAACAAAAAAATCTTCATTTGTAAGTTTCACTTTCACAACAGAGATGGCACTACAGTACTTGTATGAGGTGAGTTGAAAAATACTGTTTCTTTTGTTTACCATTTTTACAGTGCAAATATTTGTAATAAAAATACACTTTGATTTCAATTACAAAATAGAATAAAATATATATGAACATGTAGAAAAATATCCAACATAATAAAATACCAATTGAAATTTATTAAATAACAGTGCAATTCAAACTGGGATTAATCGCGATTGATTTTTTTGAGTTAACTGCGATTAATCAACAGCCCTACTTTATCCTTTTTGATTTCTATGATCCTTAATGTCTAATTGGAGAGACAAGATGGGTGAGGTAATATCTTGTATTGGACCAACTTCTGTTTGTGAGAGAGACAAGCTATCAAGCTTACACAAAGCTCTTCTTTCAGGTCTTGGAGTCAGATAGCTAAATTCTGTTTGTTGGCTCATTTAGGGGGTAAATATTTTTGATCAAATTATTGCCTGATATTTCAGCTGTTTTAGAATTATTTGAATGTAGAACATGTCTTATGTACTACACTGAGCACATAGCCCTTTTCTCAAGGAAAAGAGATTGCACAACAGAGTTCAGCTATATCATCCTGAAGGTCCATCTCCCTACCCACCATGCCCTGCAAAATACATGGGTATCTCCTTTCCTTCCCCTCAGGCACTGGAATATAATTAGATTTAGTGCAGAGTGCCACAAGGAAACCCTACTGCCTGGCTTATTTATTAAAAATAACCCACATGGCTTAAATCTTCTTTCATTTCTGAATTGAGGAGCAGCATGAAAAAGGTTGAAGTATTAACACACCTCAAACTAGCAACAGTGACAAACTAGAACACGGGTTTACTACAGAGTTCAGTAATATTACTCAGTTGTTTTAGATTGCAGGCTCTGTGTATTTTCTATGCCCTATTTTATTCCCATTTCTTCTCCCCATCCAAATCAGGCTCTAATTCTTGGACCTCAGCATGGTTTTGCAGGTCATGGTGGGTAGGGAGATGACCTTCAGGGTGATATAGCTGAATGCTATTTTGCAATCTCTTTTCCTTGAGACAAGGGCTATGTGCTCAGTGTAGTACATCAGACGTGTTACATTCAAATCCATCTTCCTCAAGGCAACGAACCTGGAATTTTGGAATTATTTAGAAATCCCTCCTATTTTTTTTTCTGTCTCTTGATAGATACGTATGAGCCAGATGGTTATAACCCAGAAGCACCTAGTATTACCAGTGCTGGTAGATCTCAATACCGACAGTTCTTTACTAGAACACAGACACAGCGTCCAAATCTGATTGGCCTAACATCTGGGGAGATGGATACAAATCCAAGAGGTAAGAAAAGTATCTTGACACTGCTCTAACTGTTCTTACGAGCAGAGTTGAGTCTGTCATCACTTGGTTTTTCTTTGTTCCAGGCTGAAACTAATAGAGCCTTTGAACTAATGTTCGGGCATAACTTTCACACACTTTAAATGTCAAAGTTCTTATTAAAGTAGATAATTTTGAATGCTAACTTGATCATCTAAAAGTTTTTAAAAAAACCCGACTTATTACTTAAAACTGATTTGCTAGCGTGCAGACTAGTGCATAATACAAATCACTTTCCCTCTAATTTTCAAATGCACACAAGCTCTTAGTGCAAAAAGCTTTAAGCTACCTAATCCTAAACTTGTACCCATTATAACATAAGCAGCCTGAACGCTGCTTTAATGTAACAAAGGTTCATTCTGGCAACGGGGCACAAGAATGTCCGTCCACACTATCTTCTCTCCATATACTCCCTGTGTCAGCTGAAGTGAGGGTGGTGGCAAAGGAGCTGCTGTGGCAGGTCTTAGCCACAGGAGGATCTGGCTTATTTTAAACAAGGTATCTTAATTTAAACAGACTATCATACATGGAAATCTTATGTCTTTGCATGTGGAACTATTGCATTTATTCAGTTGAGATGGAGTAGTCTAAATGAAGGGTTAATTCTCATGGGTAAAAAACTTCAGCTTGCACATAACACATGTAAGGCTTTTTAAAAAAAAACAAAAAAAAAAACTGAGGCCCAGAACAGCATTAAAGAAGCTCCCGGAGGTGGAGGAGGGTGGGGCAGGGAATCTAGTAGTAAAGTATTGTTGTGGAATCTGATATGCCATTTCCATAGCATAGGATTGTGATGCCATAAACACATCGCAAGCTCTAAGAGACTGCTCTCTGAGAATGCATTTCAGTAATGGGGAAAATCCAGAACATTACAGGCAAATTTGTTTCAATCCCTTCTATTCAAATTTTCCAAGGCTAAGAGAGGTGCACTTACTTTGGAAGTTGTTTTTATATATTTAAAATGAAAAAATCTGTGCATCCTGTGCCCTTCATTCTCACCAGCGTAACTAGGTGTTACCGAAGTCTCCGGTACTTATACAAACCATATAAAATGATGTACAGTTCCACAAGCTTCTTTTTGAGGGAATGAATATTTGGCATGTGGGAAGAGAAAGACTAATGGCAATAGCCGCATCTAAGCAGCATGCAAGCAAGCAGTAGGCAAATATTCCTAACCTCCGTAGTTCTCTTAATTGCATCCAGTTCTGATCTGCAGTTCCCCAGCACTTCTGCAGCCTCTTACCTCTGTCTTGATCTTCAGCCCAAGAAATCAAGTCATGCTAAACAATGTGAATTGTGGTCTGAACAGATATCCACAAATATAGACTGAAGCACCATACTTTAAGTGAGTTAAATAGGCTGATGCTTACTTCGGAAGTTAAAGTGTGAAGTTTAATTTGAGGGTTTTTCTCTAATTTTAATATGGTGCTTGTCCAAAGTCATTTTTAAGAGAGATTCTTACCCTCCACTACTTATCTTATTGTTAAGCTACTTACTTCCATTCCCTGAAGTAATTCCATAAACAAGATTGAGCAGCTTGTCAAAACCTTTGATTTTTAGTATTAACAGCTGAACATACCCATCTGTAGTATGTATACTTGTGCTTTTCTTTAAACAAAAACCTGCTTTTTAAACTTTAAATGTTAATTTTGGGGATGTCTCTGTTAGAGCACTTTAAATAATATGCTGCTTTTTCCTCCAGCGGCCAACATTATCATCCAGACTGAAACTCCCATTTCCATTGCAAATAACAGCAGCAATGTAACCAGAGTGGTGCTTGAGCCAGACAACAGGAAAAGACCTCCAAGTAGCATGGAAGGGCCATCTGTAAAGAAACCCTGGATGGGAAAGTAAGAACTAACAAGTCAGAGTATAAAGCCATAAGGGACGATGAGATTATCTAAATGCAGCTGACTAATCAGTAATGTAAAATGGATTTCTTTCAGTGTTCTGAATATAATTGTCTGAGCCAGAGGCTCTCAAAAGACTCGGGGGCTGAGTGAACAGGCTCCTGCCATTTGAGAATACAGATGTTAAATGCTACATATACTACAGTCTCATTAAATCTTGAGTTTGTCATCTACCCTTCTTATAGAAAGATAAACCTAAGTAATGAACAGTAGGCTATTAAGTAGTTAGTATGCAATATGTTTCCCATAAATGTTATCTCACTCTTGCTTTTTCTAGGCAAGCCAATAACCAGAATAAACCAGGATTTCTGAAAAAGAATCAGTATACTAACACCAAGCTGGAAGTTCGAAAAATCCCACCTGAGTTGAATAATATTACACAACTCAATGAACACTTCAGCAAATTTGGAACTATTGTTAACATTCAGGTAAAATCAAGATTATTTTTTTCTGATGTGTCTCTCCAATAAGTATGTCAAAAAAACCATACTGTATCATTTGGGAAATCAGGATAGGTAAAGGACTAAATCAGAAGCCTCTTGTGCCTGGTCCACTCTGCATTACTGTCTCGACTCTGTTAAAAATATTACAGTACCTTCTAGTTGCACAGACAAATTTTAAACTCCCAAAGCTGGGGGTGAAGCAAGGGGGTTAAGCATCGGGTCTGAAAGCCCAACATTCACTGAGCACCCTACACTTGATTTTTGGAAGAGACCTGGTAAACAAAAATCCTTCCTGTTTTTTGTATGGGAATTGAAGATCCCATAGTATTTCTTATAAGGTCAGGGCTTTATCCATGCATCTTTCACCAAAAGTCTCTGCATATCAATTTACTGCCATTTTCCACCACAGAAGTGACTGCAATTCAGGTGATGGTGCTTGGGATTATCTGGAATGAAGAACACTATATAAACAAAATATTTATAGTTGTATGGCTAAAATCTTATTCAACTGTTTCCCACTGTTTGGCTGGGAGAGTAGCCTGGCTTCCTTTAGGCCTTTGATAGGAAAACTGAATAAAAAGTAGGACCTATGAAAATCTACCTACGTTTTGAGTTTGATATGAGAAAAGAAACTTTTAGTCCAAAAATATCTAGCTATCTCTATTAAGAATGACTTGCTCTATTGGTAGTAATCTACCTTCCTCCAAAAAATAGTGTATTTAAAAAATGTAATTATCTTTTTCATACTGAAAAATAAAATTGGTCTTCGATACTGTCATTGAATAAAACATTTTTTTCCCTCAAATGTATCACATGGAATTAGGAGGCATTTCTCCTAAAAATGGAGTAAACCTTTGTGGCTTGCATTGTAGTGACTTTGTTTGGCCTTTTGGGCAGAATTCTCCTTGCTTCTGTAACCCAAATGCCTAATACAGTGGATATTTAGTCTTGTATAGATTCAAACCCTGCCCTTCCACAGGAGCTTAAAAGGAAGAACTGGGGTTGCAGAGTGCAGCTGTGATAGGAGCAGCAATGATTGTTCCTGTTTCACTTCATAGTGAATATTTAATAGTGATGATAGCAGATAGCACAATGGTAGGTTTTATGTATGTAGTAAAATACACTATCGTCTTTGCTGTGTAAAGTACGTGAGAGGACATTTGACTTTGACTTGATCAGCGTCATCTTTGTGTAATCGATACTTGAAAAATACAACTCCCTCCTTTCTGGTGTAAAACTGTATTTGACAAATGTTTGTGACTTTTCAGGTGCTGTTTCCTGTGAAATATGGATCAGTGACAATTGTTTATATATGCTGAACTTCTGTTTTAGGTTGCTTTCAAGAATGATCCTGAAGCTGCCCTAATTCAATATTTAACTAACGATGAGGCCAGAAAGGCCATTTCCAGCACAGAGGCAGTTTTAAACAATCGATTTATAAGGGTGCTGTGGCATAGGGAAAATGAGCAGCAACCACCACTGCTGCAGCAACACCTGCACCATCACCAGCAGCAACCACCACAATCTCTGCATCACCAGCTTCATCTTCAACAACAAACGCTGACTGCCCAACCTCCAGCTGCAACGGTACATAGCAATGTGTCAAAGGTATACTGCCTTCATGCAAAATGTGGCTGCTTTGTCAGACTGGTCAGAGCATTGAAGATCAGTGATGCTTCAAAGTGGATAGTGCTTTAAAAATGCAACTATATAATCTTTCCTTTTTATATGTACTCGTACGCAGGTGATAACTAAACCACTGGCATCGGGTGCCTATGTCCTTAATAAGGTTTCAGTTAAACGTCGCCTTGGAGCAGCAGGTGGAAACCAGACAGATGCAGCACATTTGTTAAATCAGTCCAGCGCTACTGCAGAGGATTCTCAGGTATGTTTGACAAAGATTATGCCTGTGAATCTCAAAATTTAATACTTTCACTATTGGTTAGATGAGAGGATGACTAAATAGGACTTGTGGGTTCTGTTTGTAGTTGTTCCATTAACGTTCTGTGTGACCTCCAGCTAGTCATTTAATCTCTGTAGCTCCAATATCCTATCTGCAAAATTGGAATAATGTCTGTGGGAAATAATTCTTGAATCTTGGTTTAAAATATAGGTATGATTAGAAAAATAAATAGTCAAAAGATATTGCTTAGCTAACAAATCTGATCCCTCAGTATAGTCAGTCAGATCTCTAGTGACAAGATTTCACTTATTCCTGTAAATTTCATGTGCACTGATCTGCATGGGTAGGTACTTTTTTATATGGTTCTATAGCAATCTTCTTACAGTTCAGGGTAATGCGGATTGAGTTGCACTGATGCTGTGGTGCAAAACAGCCCTGGTAACAAAAGGATATGCTTGTAGTGGGAGAGGAAGAATCGTGCAAGGTTTAGGCTGAACAACTATTGTTCTTTTAATGGGAATCATGTTTCTAAAATTCTGAGCAGAAGGCATAATATTGTTGGCATGGGAATGCTAACCTGTATATAATGCAGAAGTAATACACTTAGTCTCCATAGTGGTTAGCAGAGAAAAATTTGATCCTGCTGTGGTTTGTGTAACTGGCAGCATCACTTTGTTATGGCTTCTCTGGCTCTTATCTTTCCCTGTATTATTCTCCAAATAAGAACTTTGGATGAGGGAAGGGAGAGGTTTTCTTTTGTCAAATGCCTTTGACAAGCATTCAGGTGTTACTCTTCTGGGAAGAATTATGCTGTTGATTCCTGTATGCATGTGTGTATATTAAGTTTGCAGTGTAGTTGTAGTTTGTTGCTCCCAGGATATTAGAGGCAAGGTGGGTGAAGTAGTATCTTTTATTGGACCAACTTGTGTTGGTAAGAGACAAGTTTTTGAGCTTGTCCAATAAAAGATATTACCTCACCCACCTTGTCTCTGTATATTAAATTGTCATGCGTCACCTAAATACCAAATGTCTAAAAAGAAAGCATGTTATCTTGGTTGTAAACTGGGTGCATTACTCTTAAAGCTTGTTCACGTGCTTATAACTATGTTCCGGCATAATAACCTCGTTCATTTTAGTGTTCTATTATTTCAGACATTTTCTACTTCTACAAGCCATACAAAAATGGTGTATAATTCCCCAAACTTAAAGACCTCTGTGAAATCTGGCACAGGATCTAAATCCCATGATGTTCAAGAGGCCCTTAAAAAGAAACAGGTACTTGTATATACGTTGTTTGATGGATATTCTAAAAGTCAAGATCCTTGTAAAGAAATGACCTCTTATGTCAGCGTGCCCCCTGCAGTGTGCCTGCAGTTTTTTCTCATGTTCTCTACTCACAGTGCCCACTGTCAGGCACTGTGCTTGTCAGGCGGGTCTCCAGTGACTCAGCTCTCTGGCCAAGTCACGCACAGTCTGTATGCGAAAACCCGCGCGCACACACCTTCTGGGGTGTACAGTTTTACAGAGCCTATCTCAAAGCCCTCAACCTTCTCTGGCTCAGTCCTTAGCCCATCCAACAGGGCCCATCATGGTACCCTCAACTGGGGTTGGACTACCTTGCAAAGATTCCTGCTCTGGAGTGGAGCAGTGCCACTAGGGCTTCCTCCCTGGCGACTTTTGCCTTCCCTTGAGTCCGCAGTGACCCCAGCTCTCCAACTCAGCCACTTTTCTTGAACTCGGTTCACTGACTCCAGCTCTCCAGCAGAATCAGTCTCAGTTTAGCCCCCCTTCTGGTGATGGTAACATTGTTCCAGATGCAGCCCTTCCCTGGGCTTCTTTCAGCTTAGGGCTTAACCACTTGCCCAGTGGCTGTTTGGGGGTGACCCAGGCTCGCCCACTACTCCAGGTCCCAACCCAAGGACCCTCTAAGTAGCAGCCACGTGCCATGTCACTTTAACTACTGTGTTTTCCTCTGGCCCTTATCTTACTCATGTCCGAGCAGCCAGCCAGGAGCACTTTTCCTGTTCCCCGAGTCCCTGCCAGTAACTGCTCACTTTGGCCCTTGCACCTCCTGCAGCCAGCCAGGAGCACTTTCCTGGCTCCCCCAGACCCTGCCAGCAGACTGAACTCACTCTGGCTCTGTAGCTCCTTTTATAGGAGTCTGCTGGGCCCTGGTTGGCTGATCCTTGCAGCCTCTCTAGGTAGCTTGGAGGACTCTCCTCTACTATTCTTTTTTTTTGGATAGGTTGTGGTAGGACTGTGAGGCCTCCAGCAGGGGGCCTCCAAGCCTAACACCCCATCACTTAGCTTTAACTCCAACTTTTCCTATAGAGCAGTGAGCAGTTCTGGGGCAAGCTGACTCTTACAGTGATCCCACTTTTTCTTTTTTTTTTTCTTTTTTTTAAGTACAGCCTGTGGGCTGTCTGGATATCTTGCAGAGAGGCAGTGTGGCTAAGCAGGGTCAGTAGCAGCCCTTTTGGCCACTTTCCTCTTCTAGGTGGGCCAAATGGCTTTCAGTAGTTGTTCCCCCTTGCAGTAAAGAGAGCATATGGTGTTAAGTGTATTATCTCTTTTGTCTTTACTGGAAATGCTCTTGTTGTAAGGCTGATGTGTTCTGTATCAGAGAATGTTTCCTCTATCTCTAAAGTTCTCAGGCACTTAAATTACCCTACTTGACCGAGAAAGTTGTTTGTAAAAAGATGAAGGGGAATTGGGAGAGACACCTGTTTTCATTTAAGTGGTCTGTGCTATCCCTTGTTTTTGTGTGCATGTTGCAGCATTAGCTTGGAGCATTTAGGTGTTACTGTGATACAGTAAATGAGGATCAGAGGCTCTTTATGTTTGTGCAGCACACACACTTTTAATCTTCATTAGAGCTTAAAGAAAAAGTATAACAGCTGAGCAGTTGGCAGGAGGAGTGTTAGAAAAGCTGCTGCTATTGACCTTTCTTGGCTATATATGGGATAATCAGAAACTTATCAATGAAAGACTTACTGAATCCATCCCCCATCCAGTGTAGCATTGTGTGTCACTGCAGGACAAATCTAGTACTAAATGGATGTTACTCTAGATCTCAGCCAAGAAAAAGTGGTTCTAGTTCTGGTTTAATCTGGTTCTTCCTAATCATAGAAATTTGTATATGCCCAATAACTGAAAATATGTCCTTCTCACTTAGGAGGCAATGAAGCTTCAACAAGATATGAGAAAAAAGAAGCAGGAGATGTTAGAAAAACAAATAGAATGCCAAAAGGTAAGTCTGGAATGTATTCTAGCTGTTGCATTCTGATTCCAGTGGGCACTAAATTTATTCCATTTGGTTGCTGTCTAAATTGTATCTTCTTGCTCAGTTGTCCTTTTTTTAACATACATAGATGTTGATATCTAAGCTGGAGAAAAATAAGGCCACGAAACCAGAGGAGAGGGCAGAAATAATGAAGACCTTGAAAGAACTAACAGGAAAAATCTCTCAATTAAAGGATGAATTGAAAACTTCATCTGTAGCCTCCACACCGTCAAAACTGAAGTCCAAGACAGAGGTGTGTGCATATGTGCATGCATACATACTTTTGAAATAAATCATTACTATGATTTTTAGCAAGTGGGTAATAGCTGTCTTCAGGTTTACTTTCTCACCTCATCTTTCAGAGTGGACAATGAAGCATGGGGATAGAATAAAGTGGAAAGCTAATACGCTCTAGGACACTGGTACACAGGGAACTGGTATACCTAGTTGTTATAGTAATCTGAGCATATCTCAGATCTTAAGTTGATTACAGACATTGCTTGAATGTCAGCTTTCTGAAGTAAAATGCATCACACTAGTTCTGAGAAGAAATCAAACTGACTAATTTAATCATTAGTTTTTCTTGCCAATCCTGTTCTTTGGGTCCTGAATGTGAACTATGTCACGTTACCCAGTACATGCTGGTTTGTACTGCATGAATGAGACAGTTAGGTATTGATTACTTTTCTAATTCAGTAACTTGTAACACAGTGTTTACAGTAATACAGATATTTTAAAAGCATTAGGGATACTGTTTTTAATTGCTAAGAATTGTTTGAACTTTCCATATTGGAAAGGTATAAGCAAAAGCCTTAAGTGCAAGGACAAAGCAAGTTCTACTAGCATTTAAATGCCAAGATAGATTAGTGGGGAATATAAATGACTACTAACTGGCACTCCCACAAGGAGTAAAATTGTCCTCCTGCAGTGTTTAGTATAAAATAAAATCCTTTTCATACCTGTGAAAACATCAAAAATTGCTTCACTGTGATCTTTATAACAAAATACCTACTGATAAGTATAAGCATGGGCAAATGCATCAACTCCAATAGAAAATAGCTTTTTGAAAGTTACTCTTGATCCATATAGTTCAATGATCAACTGAGAAGAGATCACTGAAATCATAGTTTGCTTGTCCAAAGGAACTTTACCAGTTTTGAATTCCTGTGTTGAAATACATACAATGCCAATGTCTTCTCTTCAGGGTTGAACATTTTCTTCTACTGGGCATGAACACTGGGCTTAGGGAGGAATATGGATACTGAGGGATTCTTCTAAAGTTTGTGGCTAAACAAAATGGAATCAGGTGTTAAGAGGATAAGTACTAATACCCCCATTTTTTTATTTATTTTTTTTAAAGGCACAAAAAGAGCTTTTAGATGCAGAACTGGACTTTCATAAAAGATTGTCTTCTGGAGAAGATACAACAGAGTTGAGGAAAAAGCTCAGTCAACTACAGGTTGAAGTGAGTTTGTAAGGAGTGCTGCCCCAGTGCTTCATGTCTGTTACATGAAGCTTTCAACTCCCCTGAAAGCTGAAGATAGCTTTGCCCACTATGTGCCTTTCTTTTTAACAGGCTGCCCGTTTAGGTATCTTGCCTGTAGGTCGAGGAAAGGTGATATCTGCTCCGGGCAGAGGAAGAGGACGAGGTCGTGGTGGGAGAGGAAGGGGCACATTGAATCATATGGTGGTAGATCACCGCCCCAAAGCTCTAACCGTCGGTGGCTTCGTAGAAGAGGAGAAAGATGAATTATTACAACACTTCTCTGTAAGTCAGCTCTGGATAGTTAACTTAAACTGGAAAAAAAAATGTAGTCATGATTCCGTACTGCAGATTAAAGACTTGGTGTTTCTTTAGTGTCTTCCAATGGAGGAACTCAAAGTAACTTCATGCACAAGCCTCCCCCCCCCCCCCCTTGCATCTTGAAGATGTGAGTGTCTTTATTCATATTTCCATAATACAGATAAGTCGTATCACTATCCCAAAATCATAGAACAAGTTAAGTATATAATTTTGCTTTCCAAAATTGGGATTTGGATTACTAAATGTAACTAGGCTTGGCAAAATTAAATTTTTATTTTTTATAATTTCAGTGGATATCTACTTTTAAGTTGGGGTTTTTTGTTTGCTTTTTATCAATTTTTAATTTTCACAGTTGCAGGAAATTATGGAGGGGCAGACAGTTAATGACACTAAAGGTTGACATTCTGTTTTAATGGTTTATAAAGCTTTTAAATTTTTGAAATTGTCAACATCCCATGTCAAAATATACGAAGTGAATGTCCTTAAATCAACAAATCATACCTACTTTTATTCATTTGCTAGTCCATTTGGAACAAGCCTAATTCAGAAGTATACATCACTAGATTTTTACTCTAAAAAGTTCTCAAGCAGCATTTTTCTTAATTGTCGATCTGTAAAATTTTTTTGAGGAAAATATTTTTTTCGTCGGGTTGTGTGTATGGTGAAATTGACATTTACTGATTTTAAAAATGTAATCCTTGCAAGCCCGAATATAATACTTGCCATATCTGGTATATCTGCACTGCAGTCTCTATGGATGTCCAGGTGCATAGATTTGTCCAACCCCCCATATTCTCTCAACTCAAACACTTGAAATTCACATATTGTGGTAAGTAGATCCCTAGCTAGCTAGTCTGTGGAGTGTGGGTATGTGCATATGGGAGCAGGCCACTGCTCCCCTATCTGGCCATTGTGTAATGTGGATGTAGCAATCAGTACAATTCTGACAATTAAGATTCCTGAACTAAAGTTAACGTCTTTGGTAATGTGAAATGCATGCATTAAAACAAATGCATATTACACTTCACACGTGTGTGCTTTCATACCTTCAGCACACAGTTTACTTCAAAATAGTATATTACCAGGGGTATTGCTTTCATGTTTCAGGAGCATAAGTGTGTATGTAGACCAAAAACAAAACAGAAAACCATGTGGCAAAATGAATCTTTTTCCCTTGTTCTGTCATGTTATGTATGTTACTGTCTACATTGCTTTAAAGTCTTTTGAAATGTGGACTTTAGAAGTATGAAAAATACTTAACAGCCTTTTACAGTCTGTGGGAGACATGTATGTGTATTTATCTACCCACCAAAGGCATTTTCTAGCCAACCCTTTCTCTCTGTGTAGCTTAAAAAGTAAAGCACTGCTGCTTCAAGTTCTTGCTCATGTCCATTCCATATTAGGGGTGTGTGCTCGCCACATGCACCAGTGCCGGAAGTTTTTCCCGCAGCAGTATCCATAGGGGTCCGGCTCTGGCACCCTCTGGAGTGGCGCCCATATGGCACGGTATAAGGGGCGCCACTGGTTTCCCCAACCCTCAGTTCCTTCTTGCCACCAGGGATGGTGCTGGAATGTCTGCTGCTTCGGCTGGCAGTGTTTTGTTCTCCATTCTTGCGAACTTTATAAAACCTGTAATATAGTTGAATTAGTTACCCTTAGTAGTAGTTTTCATTAGTCCCAAACAGGACTCGGGCCTTGGGATGGGGCATGCCCCGGTCCCTAGACTTTAAGCCCTGCAATAGTTGAAAATGGCCTTTGCCAATCAGCGATCCACATAGTAGCTGCCTAAGGTGCTTGGCCAAAGGGCACATAAGCGACAAGTGTCGTCTTCGTAAGTTCTTCAAACCCAGGTCAAAAAAGGAGCAGGACAACTGCCTGCAAACACTCCTGGGGGAGTCGGCACTCAGTGCGGCACGGAATAATGGTCCGAGGCAGCACCGAGCACTGCGGTGTTGGTGCACAGTGCCTGCCAGCACCGTCCATGAGCCGGCACCAAACCCCCTCCAGAGCTCCGGCCAAGAAGCAGAAGAAGACAGTGAGGGGAAGATCTCCTACTTCCTGCAAGAGAAAGGAAAGGGCTCGGGGCAAGCCAAGACCTGCGCTGGGCAACTCAGCGCCCCCTTCAGGAACTCAGGCCCCAGTTCAAGTCGAGTGGTGCAGCCCATCCCATACCTCGCCTGTGAGTCTGGATAGCAGTACAGGTCTCCGTCAGCTTCAGGTGCCATCGATGCCCAAAGCCCTACAGGCAGATCAGGAGATCCTGGCGCTTCTAATGCTGTCCACACCAGCTCCAGCGGTACCCCAGTCTCAGGGTATACCCACCTTGGGACCTAAGCAGCACCGTTCCCCATCACATGGGACATCCCGCCACCGCTTGCCCACCCGAAGCTGTCGTACCTCAGAGCTAAAGAGGCAGGCTCAGTGGAGCCCTCTTTGGTCCCTGGACCTTGGGCACTGACAGCGGGATTCGAGGCATATTTCGTTGGTAGCCTGGCACAGACTCACTGAGGCTTCCCCTTCGCCCCCCCGCAGGAGCACCAAGACCAATCCCTCACATCAATAAGAGCTTGGTACAGATCCTGGGACTGATCAAGGGACCGAAGTCACCAGCCTGCTGTCATTGGTCTCCAAGATAGGGATCACCATATTTGGGAAGATCCTCCCAGCAACCCCTCGGCATGGATGCTGCGTGGCTGAACTCTGTTTGGAGGAGGTCCAACAGGTTCTCCTGGGGAGTAGAAAGCCCTCAACCAGACTGATTTACCTGGCCAAGTGGACGAGGTTTTCCCACTGGGCATCCGAGCAAGGCATCTCTCCCTCATGTTCTTCCATACAGTCTCTGTCTTAGACTACCTGCTTCATTTGAGGAACCAGGGCCTGGCACACTTTTTCATTAGAGTGCATCTCGTGGCCATCTCTGCTTTTCACCTGCCGATCCAGGGCCAGATGGTGTTTTCTTATGACATGACAGTCAGATTCTTGAGAGGTCTCGAGACTTCCCACGGTAGGGACCCCTGTTCTGCAGTGGGATCTTAACTTGGTCCTCTCTAGGCTCACAGGCCCGCTCTTTGAGCCGCTGGGCTCCTGATCCCTTTCCCACCTGTCATGTAAGGTCGCTTTCCTGGTGGCGGTGACATCTGCGAGACTAGTCTCTGAGATTAAAGCCCTGACCTCAGAATGCTGTACACTGTCTTCTACAAAGACAAGGTTCAGCTGTGGCCCCACTCAGCCTTCATGCCGAAGGTGGTATCTACCTTCCATATGAACCAGGACATCTTCCTCCCAGTGTTCTGTCCCAAACCGCACAACACCAGCAAAGAGTAGTGTCTTCACATGCTGGACATCTGAAGGGCCTTGGCTTTTGTTACCCAAAATTGAGCCAGCTAGTAAGCATAGGGAGGACTAATGACCCAGAAAGTTTGGCAGAAAGCCGCGCGTTTATTATACTGATAGCTAAGCTGATAAGAAGGCGGGGGGGTGTCACACTCACACTCGCAGGACAGGCACAGCACTGGAGATATCAGGATTCTTCAAGGTAAGTGTCCCACAGCGCAGCAATGGATGGTGCGATGAAGGTAAGTCTTCCCGAGGCACGATAGAATGCAACGTGGTGAACCACTGGCCAGGCGGTCTGGGCAAAGGGCCTTCACGGGAGATACACGCTTGTGAGTGCACTCCTGAGCACATGGCCCCTTCCCCTTTTAAGGACCTGCTCCTCATGGCCTGCAACTACAGATGACTTAGGCCAGGTCTGGTTGGTCACACTTCACCTCGGGAAGTGTCCATGCATAGGGTGTGTGAGCGCTGCCTAATTAGAATCCCAGACACCTTGTCTACCTGGGAGTTCTTCTGATCTTCCAGCTGTTCAACCAACCCATTCATCCCAGAAGTATTCCAGGAGGGAGGTAGAGGGGGAAAGCCACTTCACAGGTATTCAAAGAGGGAGAGGAGACAAAATGGGGGGGGGAAGTGGAGGGGGAAAAGTGTAACAGACCTTTTGAGCATACAGGTTATACATAGCATAATCATACAGAGCATACATGCTGCTCCTACAACAGCTTTTTACCTAGAACGCACCAAGCCTTTCCATAAATCAACTCAGCTCTTTATCACTACAGTGGATAGGATGAAGGGCCTTCTGGTGTCCTCACAGAGGATTTCCAACTAACTCTTGCATAAGGACCTGTTATGACCGGGCGGGGTCTCACCACCACCAATTGTCAGACCCCACTCGACTACAGCTCAAGTGTCCTTGGCGGCCTTCCTGCTGCACATCCCTCTCCAGGACATCTGTAACATCGCAGTGTGGTCCTCTGTTCACATGCTCACAGCGCATTGTGCCATCATTCAGCAGGCCAGAGGCCATGCTGGGTTCGGCAGAGCTGTGTTGCTATCTACATGTCCGTGAACTCCTACCCACCTCCGATGGTACTGCTTGGGAGTCACCTAATGTGGAATGGACCTGAGCAATCACTCAAGGGAGAAAAGACAGTTACCTTTTCTGTAACTGGTGTTCTTCTAGATGTGGTGTTCATATCCGTTCCATGACCCACCCTCCTTCCCCACTGTCGGAGTTTTGGGTAAGAAGGAACTCAGGGTGGGGGGAACCGGCGGCACCCCTTATACCACGCCATACAGGCTCCGCTATAGAGGGTGCCAGAGCCGGTCCCCTACGGATACTGCTGAGGGGAAAGCTTCTAGTACCGGTGCATGTGGTGAGCACGCACACCTAATATGGAATGGACGTAAGCAACACATCTCGAAGAACACCAGTTATGAAAGAGGTAACTGTCTGTCTTTTTTTCCAAGCAAAGCAGGAATTTCACAAATTTAACTTTTTAGGAAGTTCATATTGCAGCTTTCAGGTCCCTTTTGTAACAGTTCACAACCCAGCATCCAGTGTCAGTATGGGACACAACTAAAATTAATATCAAGTTTTTGATAAATTTTCCTAAACGTCTTCTGGCAATTCTTAGTTGAGACGCCTATTAACTTTTTGGGTAATCCATAAATTATAATCGGAGCAATCGAAACAAATGCCGTGTTTGTGAAACGTGACATTGAATCTTACCAAGTTAATGCAAAGAATACCTAAACTTTTGCAAAGAGAAAGCGGTCATATGGCAAACCTGGGTAATATTAGGAACCGTTTATTAGAGTTGAGTAGAGAAAGAGAGTTCATTTCACAGAGAATTTTCATAGTTCAGAAATTGGTTTTCATTCCACACTGGAACTAAAACCAAAAATTTCAAAGTTCTCTGTAGAAGGGAATGGAATCCTGGCTGTGCCCCATATGGTGGGTTAAACCAGAGCTGCAAACCCTAGGGTTCAGGACTCTGAGGCAGTCCTGCCAACTCGCCTGCCTGCCATGTGACCAGAGAGGGTTCTCTTGGACTCCTGAAATAAGATATAAGGATTATATCTGCCAAACACTGTAGATTTCAATGGATTGGTCAATTCCGATGAAAAACGTTTTGTTGGAAATTTTTTCGACCTGCTCTAGTGTTTTTTTAGCTGAACATGAAGTACTGCACTATAGTGCCCATCCTCTGGGAATTCTCCCAGTTTTCTGAGTGACTTACATTCTTGTGAAAATATTCCCTGCTAGTTCAGCAGCATCAGCTGTTAAATCTGCAGTAAGAGATCTGGCATACCATCATTTCTATTACCTAAGTTAATAAATTGCTTCCAAGAAGCTTACTAGTTTTTTACATAAAATGAAGGTAGAAGACAAAAATAATTTTCATTCTCGTACTCAGACTAAGATTCAAGAAATGCTTTCCCTGACAAATCCTTTTTGTATTGAAGACAAATACAGTATGAAAGTTTGTAAATTGCTTTCATTTCAGCGAGATGGAACACTAAAGCCAATCTGGTTCTCCAGTATTGTGGTCCAGTGTTATTGCCACCCTAATACTCAGATTAAAGGGAGTTGGTTAGTTGTAAAATGCAAACATCTGATTGATCTAGTGATAGTGGATTGATCAAGCTTCTGTTTTCTGGCAGAGTGCTGTGGTTCTCTTGCTGAACAGCTTCCCTTTTGCAAATTAATGAGCTCCAAAAGGAACTACTTCATGGGACTAGAGAAGTTATGTGATGAGGAAGGGTGTGTATGTGTGTGGAGGAGAGGATTAACGGGCGGGGGGAGATGAAAATTCTTAACACGCTGGTAAGTTAAGGCCCTTTTTTGTGGGGAGAGTGTGTGTGTTCCTAGTTGAGCAGTGAATTTTAATTGCAAGTAATTTAAATCTGTTTCTTGGGAGACAGGCTTGAGGCTATACACCACTGCTGGAATGGTACAAGCTGTGACACCTTTCTAGCCTCAGGCTATCTCTTCCTTCCACCAAAAAAGCCATATTTAAATTTCAGCTTTGAATAGGCCCAGGTTACGATATGATGGTTTGTCCAACTAGCACACCTGTTTAATGATGCTTTTTCTTGTTGTACATCTGTTTCACAGAAATTTGGAGATATTGAAGACCTCCAAGAAGAGGATTCTCCTTTAAGTGTCGTTCTAACTTTTAAGTCCCGCTCAGAAGCTGAAAATGTAAGTTTAGTAAGAGAACTCTTCCTGTGGTTTTAGGGTAAGAATCTTACTCTTTCATACAATGTACTAGTTGAACTTCCTTTGGGGTGCTTTGTTCCATACTGGTCTGGAATGGACAGTGAGGATATATGTTGCCATTAGTTAAATGGTAGGTGAACTCAGTATAGACAGAGCTTCAATGCTGGAGTCTTCCAACCAAGCAATCTTTGAGCCCTGTTGCGATTCCCAGAATGCCAATGTGCATACAGTGAAATCAGCCAGTTAGGAGCTGTGTTGAAGTTGCTGCTCAGAAATACCCTTGTGGGAGTTGGGGGAGGTAGTTGTGTAGCATAGATTTGGGAAGTGTACGCTGACCCTTCTTAAGGGGATAACCTCTTCTGATTAAAGTACCTAGCTCACTATTGGTTACCTTGTTTCTTTACTCTTATGAACCATATGTTTTTAATTCCCTTTAAAAACACATCTAAAATAAAACCTAGGCTGCTAACCAGGGATCAAGATTCAAAGACCGAAGACTACAGATATCATGGCACAAACCTAAGGTACCTTCTGTGTCCACAGAAATTGAGGAAGAGGAGTCCAAGGAAGAGGTACTGTAGTACATTGGAATAGTGGCTTATCTGTTTTCACAGAATTCCTAGTAGTGTAGGGATTTTTGGTTGTGTAGAATGTTTTCTCTGTTTGCTGTGGAAGTTGTCCGAAGATATTGTGGCAGAGTTCACGGTAATTCTTACAAGATAGAAATGTTGAAACCTTACTTGGATATTGTACCTGCACATGTATCCTTAAGAGAGAAATGTGTATTTTTGAGTAAAATATGCATACCTGTATAAGCTATCAGGACCAAACATTTGAGTTCTCTGTGTGCTGATTGTTAAAGGTACACATCAGCAGTTCTGATATAGGGTAAATTGCTTCATTTCTAGTACCTGATTTTTTTTAACCACCACCCTCCCTCCCCTCCTCCCCCCCCGGATTTGGGCTCTTATAAATGATTGATGGATAAACAAACTTGCCTTAGCCTGGTCTGCGAAGGAAAATTCTCATTTCTGAGAACCAACTACAGTTAATAAAGACTGCTCAGAAGCAGCATAGTATTTGATTTGTGGATTGGTGGTTGTTTCCTTCCTACCATTTTTCCTTCTTTATGATGGGGGCAAGATAGTATTCTTTTATAAATTTTGGTAGAAATAATTATTCACATCTCAGGATAAGATTATCCCTTTGACTTGTAAACTACTAGATATTTGCAAGAGACTATAATTCAACATTAACAATCCCATATTTACTAGAATCAATGTAGTAAGACGGTGAAATTAGTAGTTGATAAATTTTGTATTAATCCTGGCCAGATGGTGCAAAACACCTTTAGAACAACAAAAATGTGCGAAGTATATAAGTTTAAACTATATATTGCTTCCTCAGATGACATGCCATCCTGAACCAAGCAGTGTTTAAGTTGGGTAATTGTTCCTGTCCCTTGACATGGAGGGATAGTGACATATTAACCAGAACTTAATAGGAATGTTGCAAATTATTCTCCCCTTAGTAAAGAATTTTTTAGTTCACTTAAATGAAAAAGATGCTACTATTTTTCCAACATGCTGGTGCCATTGAGGAGGGGACACAGCTCCTTCTTTTAGAGCCAACGCATTGTGTATGCACATTGTATGGTGAACCCTTTCAAGTAGTATCTAGAATCCATTGTGTAAACCCAACCCTAAAATAAAATGCTGCTGCTTTATATAGTATGTTGCCTCTTGCATATAGAAGTGTCATCTCTAAAACCAGACTACAATTTTGTCTTCATCCAGGAGACTGAAACCTCAGATTTATTTTTGCACGAAGATGATGACGATGATGATGAAGATGAAGACGAATCCCGTTCTTGGAGAAGATAAAACTTTATTTGGAATTGTATAGTTTTAGGAATATAGTTTGAACTACAACTTTTAAAAATTTATTTAAGAAAGTTGATGAGCCAAAAAATTTTTATTTTACTTTCTTTTCAAAACACACAGTAGATTTCAAGTGAGAACAAGTTTGTGATATGAACGTGTCAGATACTTAGCTGTGCTACTAGATCAGCCAAAGCTTTGCCCAGTGACTTTTTACAGAGTTAAAAAGATCATCAGTGGTGGTAGTCCTCCTATAAAGAAGAAACTTATCAATATTGTCAAGCCCTTTTTTCACGTCACCTGTATTATCTTGTTTTTTAATGCTTTGATTTATTAGATATAAAAGAAAAGATGTTACAGGTTTTATTTAGTAATATAAGATTGCAGGAGAGAGCTGCAGACACGTTTTCATTAAATGTCAGTTGCTTCATGTTTGCTAACTCAAAAAGGGTAGCATTTTATTACATGCGAAGTCAACTATTATAGGAAATATTTGTGTCTGAATTCATTTTTTTGCTTCAAGACCTGTCTTGAGTCACACACAACTTCAGTGTAGAAGACCCCAACTTTTCTTCATTTAAGTGTTTTGTTTTCTGTTTCCTCTTGCATACTTTAACAGTGTATTAGTATGATACTGCCTGATACTAGTTCACTGTAAATTGCTTTAAATCCTGTTTCACTGTGAAACATTAGCAGTGACACTGATATCTGGGTCATTAGCATATTGTTTCCATTCTTTCACTGTCAGTGTCAATTTCTTCGTATGGTTTGGATACAAGGTTCAAGCTTAATCTAGGCTGTTGATTTATTGCATTGTCAGTATTGATAAATGTCAATCCTGTTAAACTGTATAGAGTTCTAAAACAATCAACCATGAGAACCCTCTTCTCCCACCTCTGCAATGTGACCAGGTCTGTCACTTTTATTAATATTCAGGCCAAACCCATACAGTGTTCAGAGCAAGTTTTGTCGTTTTTTGGCCCATGGAAGGTCAATATCCTACTATACTAAACCAGCACTTTAAGTGATACGATTCTTAAGACTAGTGTTTAAAACTCACTTTAGGAAAACTATTTGTATTTATATCTTAAAGTGCAGTTTAGTTTAAAAGCAGGTAAGACAGACACTATGAAATTTTCAATTGCCTTTGTCTTTAGACCACTTTAAAACAAAAAAAAAACCACCAAAAAAGAAATGATGGTGATTGTGGTAGAAATGGGGCTAATAAGTTTAGACCCTCGAGAGCTATAGATCTTCATAACTCTGTTATGTGGGTCTTGCTGTTCGTGAGCATAACTACATTATCCAGTAGGCTTTTTCCTTCACTCTGTATGCATCTGTACTGTACACTTTGTACAGTAGGAGTTATCTGTTATGTAAGTACCCATGTAAAATAGTATCTTTGCAGTCTGGATGTCAGTTTGAAGGAGCAGAGCAAACATACTCTTACCAACTGCTGGGATACTAAACAGCTTTGTTATATACATGTACCAAATGCATACATTCTTGGCTTTAGAAATCATATTGCTTTCAGATATTTAGCACACCAGAGTATTTGGCAATTGGTTCCTGATTCAAAATAAATACAGCAAGTACCAGAAATTTTAATTTAGGCTGAACATAGCTAGTTACTTGAAGTCACGTTCCTTCAGGTTGCCCCGTGTACTCTTCCTCTCCATTTGAGTATCCTTTTGCTGTGGTAATATGTAAAAGAAACCAAAACTTTATCGTTTTAAGTTTCAGTATCAGTTGGAGGGAATATGTCCCTCAATATTTTCCCCCTTCATATTAAGACTTCCATTTTGTAGTTAAATACTGCGTTCCTACTAATGCTGAGTTTAAATTAAATGTATGAAGGAATGATGAAAAAAACATTAATACTTTGAACCTAGAAGAATAATCCTTGCTCTTCTCCCACCATCTCTAATATTTTCTTAATGTCTGTGGCTCAGTGTATATTTTGAAAGATCCATTACAGGAAATGTTTGAGTCCTGACAGTTTAAAAAAATGATAGAGGGAACAAAGGATTTATATATTTTTTTTGTACAGAGTTTTTTCTTAAACTGTATAATTTTGTAAATATTTTTCTTTTTGTGTACTAAAACTACCAGCGTATAGATTTCAATAAGAATTGTTGTATTTTTGTATTTGGAAACTGAAGATTACAGTGAATGAATGAAGCTGTAAGAGAAATTTCAGTAGCCTTTGACACAGTTAAACAGAATGGGGTTTCCTTTTCATATGGTTTTAGCTCCAAAAGGACACACCTTATTGGCACACTTTGTTGAGAGACACTTTTGCCCTTGCTCATATGTATTGGCTTTTTTAGTTAGGTGAGATAGGCGAGAGGCAAGGGTGGAAGATTTATTTAATGGGCCTTGGAGAGATTTATATAACATTTTTCTTTGGTATGCACATTGGTAGCCTTACATACATCCTCAAGTGACATCCCAAACATGATTTTTAAGCATTGAAGCACAAAAGTGAGTTGTGCCTCTGAACTTAGCTTGTGTATTAAAAACATGCTATTATATTATTGGGAGTATAAATGATAGGCAGCATAACTGTAATTGATTAAATTCTGGTATTTAAGGAGTGGGAAAGCTGTTTGAAAGTGACCTTCATTTTGCCAAAGCTAGAGGATCTCCCTGTGTTGTATTTTACGGCTTAGTAGGTAATACTAAATTGTTTATTTTTAAGTAGGTAACTGAGAATGCACATTTTTATGGTAACATTTTATTTTTATTATGAAATGATAATGTACACCTTCAAAAAGTACAGTTGACTTAATTCATAATCAGTACTATATCTGTATATGCATACCAAGCAACTTATGTATAGGAAATTTAAAATAAAATGTTACCAAACTAAAGCCTAGTTTACAGACCATACAGCTGTATATGCTAAACATTAAACTTTGGAATGAAGAATTATTCTTCATTTCTTTATTATCAAATTAAGTTCTTGAGCATAACAAAGCCCATGAGCTGTAAAGATTCATTTGAAAACACTTGCCCATTTATGATGAAAACGTTTCAGCAGTTTTTAACAAAATCATGTGAAAAGGAATATAAGTTCCTCTTGATGTATAGTAAACTTGTACTATAGTTTTTACAAAATTGTGAACTTGTGTAATAGTATAATAGGAGATATTGTTGAATTTCTAACTGTTTATACATTTAAATTCATATATGTAATGTTTGTTTTATTGATTACAATCTGAATTTCTAAGATGCATGTTGACTTTTTGCAATAAAGATATAATATGGAATGGTTCAAGATTTAAAAAAAGAAAAAAGAAAAAGCTACAAATAACTCTAACTTAAAAAATTGGAAAACTGAAGAACCATTCCAAAAAATTACAACCATCACAAAAAGAGCTATATCACTTTTCTTCTGAAAAATGTGTGTGTGTGTGTGTCTCTGTATGTATGTGCAGGCTTTTGCTTGCCTTATTATAGTTAAGAAATATTGCTGAAGCAGCTGGAGAGAAGATAGTTTCTCTGTGGAGAGCATTACAGTTCTGTAAGAGCCAGTATGAAGTAATGTGGTCAGCAAACTGTGAGTATATTTGTGTTTTGCAGAAAACTGCAAAGCATTTCACATCTTTTTATTTAAAGGGTAAACTAATTATTTTAATGCACCTGTGCCAGTGCACTGAACAAAATGAATTCAAATCCATCGATCTTTTGAAACCATTGAAAATATAGCAAGCCTATAAAACTGCAGTGTGCCAATTGTAAAACCAAGTTAAGAGTGATCTAATACAAAGTGAGAACCATTGTTGGTCCTATATTTATATTAATCTTTAGAGTTTCTCTTTCCTTCCTAAAGTTCAATTTAAAAGTAGGAACGAGTGGAGAATTATTTTAAACTAGGAGTGAGTTACACACCCTACAGCTCATTAGAGCATATGCATATCACCTGATGATCTCTAAGATGGGGTGGTATCAGAGTACAAATATGATATAAATAAAAACAGTGTAGCCTCACCCTATTGATCCAATCTGTTAATCAGAACTTCTACCTCCGCCTCTGTTCCTAGCCTTTAATGCCCACCAATCGGCTTCCTTAAATGCCTCTGCATTTTCTCCCATGTTGTACCTTATGCATGTGGGGGTGGGGAAATTATCCAATCTCATCCTTCTTATTCTTCAGATTACTCCTTAGAATTTGCTCTGTCATGATGCCTACAAAACCTTGCTTACCGAACATGGCCAGGCAGGTGACAAGCTGTGACTTTTTCTCTTCCCCTTTTTTACTTCTAGTCTCAATTTAAAAAAAAAAAAAAAGCCATGCTACATGTAACAGTAGTGTCATTTCTTCACCACGCTCATTCACTGGTGTGTTGTATCCCTATTACCCTACCCTTCATCTATCATTAGATTGTAAGTGCTTCAAGGCAGGAATTGGCTTTTCTGTATTTTTACAGTATTCTGCACAATGGGTCCCAACCCCAATTGAGGCCTTAGGCAGTACCATAAGGGAAATTTTAAAAAGTCTTTCATTTTTGGAGCTTGTTTCCTTTGCCTAAAATATAAAGTCTTGGAGCAGTTCTCAATATCTGTCTTATGAGATAAGGGCTTTTGAAGGAAAGAGGCCTTGAAATGGGGATGTTTAGGGTGTGCGATTTGGAATAGGGAATAAATAGTTGCCCAAAACCTACTAATTGAACATGTTTTTTTAAGCAAGAAAAGGTAATAGAAATCATCCTGTGTGTATTTTAGGGCTCTTATTTTTTCTCATGTTTTTGCAGATCTTTTGTATGGGAATATAGCTGTCTTGCCCCTGAATTTTAGAAATGCCCTTTTACTGGTATGTGGCAGTTACACTTATGGTGGAAAGTATTCTTTAAAACCTTTATGGTAAAAACAACGTATTAAGGAGTCTATTAACAGAACAAATGTGAAGGTAAATGCATTTAACTCAAAGATTTTTACATTATACTTCAACCATTGCTAATTAGGAGACCAACATGCCTGTCCTATATGCAGGACTCCTGTGGAGTTGATTGGCATTTCTATGCATAAAATTTCTTCAGAGGTGGAACTAGAACTTGCTAATAACCGATTTTCCTTTTTTTTTATTTTTGAAATATACAAGATCGGATTGTACCTTGTGTAATTAATGAAATGTGTACTAAGAAATACTTGTCAGATTCTTGATACTTCTTACCCATATAAACATTGTTGACCCAGGTATGTGATGTGATAACGTGAAGCTCCTTAAACTAAAATTATGTTCTTAAAGTCGTCTTCTCCACCCTTTTAAAAAAATTTTTTTAGAAATGTATTGATTCACTCAGTTGGGTAGGCTTGTATTTGTCTAGCCAACAAGATGTTAGGATAGATAAAGAATGGGGTGGAGAACAGGAAGAATATTGTGCCGTCATATAACTCACGGGTGAGGTCTTGTCTAGATCATAGGACTGGTTGCCCCACCTTTTTTTTTATGACAAGTTTGGTTGCTAACAGTAATGGCTGCTGTAATATATTGCAACTTCTTTAAGGCATTTGACTTGGTACTACATGATGTTTTGATTTAAAAAAACCTAGGATATAAAATTAACATGCTACATATTAAATGGATTAAAAGCAGGCTAACTGCTAGATCTCAAAATATAATTGTAAATGAGGAATCATCATAAAGCAGGTTGTTTCGTGTCACGTCCCACAGGGATTTGTTCTTGGCCCCATGTTGTTTAACATTATCAGTGACCTGGAAGAAAACATAAAATCATCACTGAAGCTCACAAAATTGAAGAGTGGCAAATAATGAAGTGGACAGGGCATTGATACAGAGTAATCTGGCTGACTTGGGTATCTGTGCGCAAGCACACAATATGCATTTTAACACAGCCAAATGTAAGGTCATTCATCTAGGAACAAAGAATGTAGGCCATATTTATAGAATGGGGGACTCTGTCCTTGGAAGCAGTGACTCTTAAGAAGATTTGAAGGGTCATCTGAGATAATCCAGTTGAACGTGAGCTCCCAGTGCAAAGCTGTGGCCAAAAGAGCCAAATGTGACCTTGGATGCATAATTGGGAATCTCAAGTAGGAGTAGGGTGGTTATTTTACCTCCTGTATTTGGCACTGGTATGACCACTGCTGGACTACTGTGTCCAGTTCTGGTGTCCGCAATTCAAGAAGTATGTTGAAAAATTGGAGAGGGTTCAGAGAAGAGCCACAACAATAATTAGAGGATTAAAAAAGTCTTATAGTGATAGACTTAAGGAGGTCAATCTGTTTAGCTTAACAAAGAGAAGGATAAGGGGTGATTTAATTGCAGTCTGTAACTATCTACATGGGTAACAAATATTTGATAATGGGCTCTTCAATCTGGCAGAGAAAGGTACAACACAGTCAAATGGCTAGAAGTTGAAACTAGACAAATTCAGATTGGAAATAAGACTTACATTAACAGTGAGAGCGATTAATCATTGGAACAGTTTACCAAGGGTCATGGTGGATTGTCCATCACTGACCATTTTAAAATCATGATTGAATGCTTTTCTAAAAGATCTGCTCTAGGAATTATTCTGTGAAAATTCTGTGATCTGTATTATATAAGAGGTGAGCCAACATGATAACAATGGTCCCTTCTGGTCTTGGAATCAATCTTAAAAAGGCTATTTCAGAATTTAGGGGGTGGTCAGAGAAGGGAGATGAAAATGATTAGCTGCTTCAGAAAACCCTTGTATGAGGGGATTGAAAGGATTGGGATTTACCTTGGAAAAGACTAGATAAAAGGAGGCATGAGAGAAGTACACCTCTACCTCAATATAACGCGGTCCTCGGGAGTCAAAAAATCTTACCGCGTTATAGATGAAACCGAGTTATATCGAACTTGCTTTTGGCCTCAAGCATTTCCATTATTAATAGTCACTTCCTGCCCCCTGACTACCCCCTCCAGAGACCCCCCGCCCCAACCACCCTCCCAAGACCTGACCCCCCCACCCCCATCCCTAATCATCCCCAGGACCCCAGCCCCTTGACAGGCCCCCTGGGACTCCCACGCCCTATCCAATTTCCCCTGACCACCCTGTCCCCAGAACCTCCGAACCATCCAACCCCCCCCCCGTCCCCTGACCGCTCCCCAAGACCCTCTGCCCCTTATCCAACCCCTCAGTCCCAGCCCGGCACCCTTAACACACCGCTCAGAGACACGTGTCGGAGGCTGACACGCTGATCTGCTGGAGCACGCAGCCCCACCCCCCAGAGCGCCACTTTACTGCGTTGTATCCGAATTCATGTTATATCAGGTCGCGTTATATCGGGGTAGAGGTATATATAAAAAAGAATGGTATTAAATGCTAGATCAGGAGCTTCTGCTTTATTTCATAGAAGCAAAGAGACTGTCAGGGCAATTAAAATGTGGTAAATTCAAAACCTATAGAAGGAAATACTCTTCACACAACGTATAATTAGACTGTGGAACTCATTGCCACAGGATGCCATTGACAAAAAAAGTAGCAAGATTCAAAAAGGGATTAGATATTAATGGACAAGAATATCCAAAGTTTTCATGGATAACGCTATCAAATTTTGTAAGAGATGTTAAGCTTCATGCTTCAGAATTTAAACCAATCTTGAACTACTAGCTATTAGGAAGGTGGTTTTTTTGCACCTTCCTCTGAAGCATCTAGTGTTGGCCCCTGTCTGAGCTAGGATGTTACACTTAATGCATGATGGGTCTGATCTGGTATGACAATTCCTTTTGTAGTTAAAAACACATCCCGGTATATCAAATAAGGGAGGAGGATTTCAGCCTGTCCTTCAAATTGACATAAAAGTGGCATCTAACTGAAGGTCTTGTCAGTTGTAAGATTTTCATAATGGGGGGCCGGAGTGGGGAGTGGAAGCCAATTGAACAGTGCATGTCAGTTGTATTTAACTCACTAAAGCCTACATATACATTGCTGTACTACTATTTGCACAGTAAAGCTATAGCTCTGGAAAAATTCACTTGGGACAAAATGCAAATGGGTTAATTGTAGATTTTTTTTTTTTTTTTTCTTTCTACAGGATCTGCCATTGACACACATTTCTGCAGTCCACTGAAGGTTAACCAACCAGTCCAGGTCTTGGAGTTAGGCTACTTGATACAGGTACGACGTGGTAAGTAATTGTTAGACATCTATTGTGGTCTTGCGTGTAGCACAGCCTGGTATTTTGATAGTAACCATTTATCTGTAGCTATTTTATGAAAGATTAAAACGATTAAATACTGAAGATAAAAAGTAAGTTGGTGGCTGACAAGTTTAGTTTTTTCAAATGAGCATAATAAAGCATAGGGTTGAACTAGAAAACAAGTGATAAAAGGTATTTCACTGAGACCAACATCTGCTGAAGGAGCCTTTTGTAGAAGTGTTGCTAGCAGAGG